AAGTGAGAACTTGTTTATCAGAAAGTTCAGGGGAGAAAACAGTTCAGCAGCAGCATAAACAATGTGGCTTCTGGGTGGGAAATAACTTCCAACCATTCTCAGCACTATTTTAGCACCCAGGTGGCAAAGGCATCATTTGTATTTTGGTTGACTACAAAAGAACTGGAAATTTAATTATGAAATAACGGGCATCAAGAATACTTCCTCTTGTTTTAGGAAAACAATCTTTTCCGGCACCATTTCATTGTAGAGAGTCAATTTATGTAAATGCCATATAAATATTCTGCATTTTTTCAAAAGAAATATTCTACAAATATCTACAGGAAGAACCTCTCCCTATAATTAAGGTCTCATTATGCATCTCGCCTTTTAATCCACTGAAATAGTCCTTTGTGTTAATTACATAATATTCCATTGTTAATAGAATATGCAGATAGCACCCTTGTTATTTGATGGAAGCTGTATCCTTAGTGGAGAGCTTTCCTAAAATAAAATGCACTGCTGAGCACATAGTGTTAAAGTTTTAAAAACAACACTCCATGACAAAAATGATAAAGACAACTATTCAGGACAGCTACTCAATGAGGTTTTGGAAAAGAGGGGACTGACAGATTTGTATTAACCCCAATACAAGGTCAGGTAGAAATTCATATTCAAAGAGTATCAGTAAGTCATCAGTGGACAGGAAATTACTAAGAAGAGCCCTGAGGAGTCAGGAGGATTCTAAATTATTACTGAAAATAGGTTGACCAGAGTGTTAAGATATTAATAATAGAGGGCTGGGGAGGGCTCTCGTGAGTGAAGAGCTTGCCACCCAAGTATGAAGACCTAAGTTCAAAGCTTCAGAATTCATGTCAAGTGAATGGGGGAAGTAAATCTGTAATCCAGTGCTCCCAGAAGCAAGATGACAGGCAGAGATGGATGTAGTCATAAGTTTCTTTGTTCCTGTCTGGCCCCTCAGTCAGGACGAATCTCTCCCACCCACATCCTGTAGCCGATTGGTTTCAAGTAAACATACAGAGGCTTATATTATTTACAAACTGTATGGCCTATGGGTCAGGCTTCTTGCTAGCTAGCTCTTATCACTTAACTCAACCCATTTCTATTAATCTATATGTTGCCACATGGTGGTGATGTTACCAGTCTGCTGGCATCTTGTTGCTCCTTGGGAGGTGGGCTGACATCTCCTCTCACTCTCCTTTCTTCTCCCATTTCTCCAGTTCAAATGTCCTGCCTAACCTTATTCTGCCTCACCATTGGTCAGACAGTTTTATTTATCAACCAATCAGAGCAACACATATTCAGAGTGTACAGAAAGACACCCCACAGCAAATGGGAGAGTCCCTAGAAGCTTGAGGGCCAGCTTGCCATGGGTGTATAGAAGTGAACAACAAAAGAGACTTTGTCTCAAACAATATGGAAGGCCACAACCAATGTTTAAGGCTATCCTCTGACCTCCACATCAGTACCATGCCACCATGATATACCTGTACCTATACACACACACACACACACACACACACACACACACACACACACACACACCGAGAGAGAGAGAGAGAGAGAGAGAGAGAGAGAGAGAGAGAGAGAGAGAGAGAGAAAGAGAGAGAGAGAGAATAGGAAATTTTGTTCTGGAAAAAAGAAGCTGCTTGTGTGGATGTTAAACTGATGACAGCTGCCTTGTTTGATCTATAGGAGGCTCTGTATTGAAAGGACAGCAGAGACAAGACATAAAGTTGACACTTTTTGGGTTTTCCAGATTCAAGCCAGTTATCTTAGTCACTGTTCTATTGCTGTGAAGAGACACCATGACCACAGCAACTCTTATAATGGAAAGCATTTAATTGGGGCTGGCTTACAGTTTCAGAGGTTTAGTCCATTATCAGAATGGTGGGAAGCATGGTGGCATGCAGGCAGACATGGTGCTGGAAAAGAAGCTGAGAGTTCTACATTAGGATCCATCCCTAGGCAGCAGGAAGAAGGACCACTAGGCCTGGTATAGGCTTTTGAAAACAAAAGGCCACTTCCAGTGACGCATTTCCTCCAACAAGGCTACACCTCATGATCCCTCTCCAGTAGTACCATTTCCTAATGACCAAGTATTTGAATACATGACCATTATGGGAACCATTTCTATTCAAACTACTATACCAGTCATAATGGATTTCCCAGTCTTGCTTGAACTATTTTGAGTTCCTTCCACCTATCATGTGCAACTTAAAGTCCTAATCAAGAAATTTGTACTTGACAGTGGGTGTTATTATGAATGAAATAAAGATGGGTGACTTCAGCTGAGGATAGGTGTGGTAGTGTGAAATCAGTTGGTTACACTGTTGTTCCAGCCTTGGCTGAAACTTTTAGGACTTAGGAGAAAAGCTATTGGAATATTGTAATGTGTTGGCAACTTCTTCAGTCATTAATAAGTTCTTTGTAAGAAAGATATCGATGCCAGATATAGATTCCTATACAGGAAAAAAAAATAGAAATTTGTTATATAAGGCTCTTCCTGTCTGCTTACAGCTGGTCATCAAGTTACATCCAAGAGTCTTCCCTGTGCCTCCCTCAGATAGGCTAAGAAGTTCTATAGAACAAAGGATAAGTTAATGAACCAGGTACAGAGTCCAGAGTCCCAAATTCACTTTTTCTAGATCCCACCTACACACTCTTTGCCCAAGGGGCATCAATTCTGTCAGGAATCTGTCCTCACTGGTAGGCAGCCTGAGTTCAGGGTTCAGAGTAACTAAGCTGTATTCCAGACTTTAGATTTCAGTTGAATCTCAAGGCAAAGTCAAGGTGAAAAAATATTAGTGGGGGTTTAAGGAGATGGGGATTGGGCAAGTGGCAAAGAGAGAGAAAACACCAAAGTAAGTTAGTTTTGTGGACCATTACTTGATTACATTTCTGGCTTTGGTTCCCTAGGCAAGTCCAGAAATAGCTACAGAAACAAAAGCAATGGAAATAAAAATAAACACATACCCAGAAACAAAAATACCTAGTCTTTTGAGATTAATGAGATTAGTTCCTTTTCTCCATCATTCTGACAGTTTTTCATAGTTTTCTTTTTCTACCTAAGTCATTAAGAGAATTCTTTTCAGCATTAGTTTCTTAGGTCAGTTAATTCTCTGAGCAGAAATAATCCCTGAAACCTCAGTGAGTTTGTTAGAACGCTGCTTTTGAATTCCATTTTAAAATCTTAGACATGTAAGAACAGCTGCATATGCAGGTGGGTTGAGTTAAAATGACTCCAGAAGATCAGCAATAATGCTCATGAATTTAGGATTATTGTCTTAGTGCTTTTTACTTACATATTTTTAAACAGTTGACAGTAGTTAATATCTATATAAATAAATATTTGTCTACCAACCACAAAATATTCTGAATTTAGATGCCCACTTTTATGTCTTTGAGAAAAAAGTATAGAGGTCTGGGGAGAGGGTTGGATTCATAAAGTGTTGGCTGGGCAAGTGTGAGAACTTGAGTTTTACCTTCAGTACCCACATAAAAGCCAAGAATGATAGTTTGTATCTGCCAGCCCAGTGCTGGGGAGGTGGAGACAGATCTCTGGGGCTTATTTGTCCAGCTAGTCGAGTTGAAGGAGAAAACCTCAGATCCAGTGAGAGACCTAGCCTGACAACTCATTAGGTTGCCCTCTAGCCTCCATTCAACCCTCCAAAGCATAAATTGGATTTACCTCAAACTATAAATTAACACATTCAAAGAATCAGTAGCAGTCAAAATCATGGTGAATTTCAAACTTTAGGCAGAATAACAGTTCCTTTTATAGACCTCTGTATTTTCATTTTTCCTAGTATTGGTCATTACCCTTGGGAAATATTCCCAATGTTTCTCTTGATGCAACAGCTTTTGCATTTTCTTTGTTTTTTTCCACAGACAGTGCAGAGCCACATGAGCATATCTCTCAAATTTCACACACTTGAGACACTTTTGTGAGTTCTTGCTTTAAGGTAGATGTGCCCATTCTTTTAGTGGGACAAAAAAAAAAAAAAAAGAAAACCTGATGTTACTTTTGTTAGGGTCCTGGAGACGTCCCACAAAAGACCCCCACCCACGTGTGCAATCAGCAAGTCCATTTATTATTCCAGCATGTGCCGCCCTACACAAAAGCAACATGGCTTAGACCCTGAGAGAGATGTCTGGGCTCCTTTTAAGCCTAACTAAGGGGAGTGTCCTAGGAAGTTCGGTCATTTTAGATACGATTGGTTCAAGTAAGTGGCAATCATATTAGTACGTTCTAATTGGCTTGGGGTAGTCAGAGGCTGGTTAGGCTACCGTTCTCCACTGGGGGCAGGTCTGGACCAATTCCAGGCTTTGTCCTTATTCGGTTATCACCTTGAGTTTGTTGACTGTGGCTCAGGCCTGGTATGGACCAGGCCACCTCGTCCATGTTGTCAGGGGTTGTTGGAGATTGATTGGCCTTTGTTCGTGGCTCCTCCTCAGAAATTGCCTGCTCAGTTCCAAAAAGCAGGGAAGGAGGCCTAGTTCTTTACTGAGTTATTAGGGCAGGCTAAGATGATCTTTGCCTGGCCCTTTCACCTTTCAGAGTCTTAATAGTCACTTTTAGGAGTTTTCCATGAACCACAGAGGAATGAAAGCTACCCACTAACTTCCATGTCACTGTTTCATACAATCTATCGAGGAAGAGTTAGCTCTGTTTGAAGATTTCAGTTATGAACTTGCATCAAGAGAATTCAAGAGGCTTCTCACTTGATTACCACAGACTTTCAGAAGTATTTCCACTCCTGAATTTAAAAAAAAGCATTAATTGATGTTAATTTTGTGTAGAACATTCTACATATTCCTACAGAGACAGATTGTGTCCTTGAACATCTGAAGAAGCTGTTTATTCTTTTATTTTATTTATTTATTTATTTATTTATTTATTTATTTATTTATTTATTTATTTATTTATTTTTTGACCACAAGAATTACAAATATATTTAAATCTCAGACCTGGGAAATGGACTATACAGAGCCTTCTAGGAGAGAGAGACGCCTTAGATGTTCTGACAGCACTGACAGCACTGCACCTTTGGCTTGTTTTCAGTGGTAGGTGGAACATGAATAGGAACCACATTGTTGCTTGGAGACATGTCATTTTCACGTCTGTCTGACATTTGCTTCTGAGAAACAATGCAGTATATCTCTGTCAGAATTGTCTGAAAAGCAGCTTCAACATTTGTAGAATCTAGAGCAGATGTCTCAATGAACGACAAACCATTCTTCTCTGCAAAAGCTCTTGCTTCATGGGTAGGAACTGCCCTGAGATGGCGTAAATCACTCTTATTGCCCACAAGCATGATAACAATGTTGCTATCAGCATGGTCTCTCAGTTCTTTCAGCCATCGCTCTACATTTTCATATGTGAGATGCTTAGCAATGTCATAAACCAATAAGGCACCTACTGCTCCACGATAGTATGCAGATGTGATAGCCCTGTACCGCTCCTGCCCTGCTGTGTCCCATATCTGCGCCTTTATTGTCTTCCCATCAACCTGGATGCTTCTTGTTGCAAACTCTACTCCAATGGTACTCTTGCTTTCCAGGTTGAACTCATTTCGAGTAAATCGAGATAGGAGGTTACTTTTTCCAACACCAGAATCGCCAATAAGGACAACTTTAAAGAGAGTCGTACTCGTCGTCGCGGGTGCCCATGGCGCGGCCGAGAAGCTGAGGGGCGGGAGAGGCGGTGGCGACAGCGGCAGGACCAGGGGGCGTCACTGCTTTTTATTTTATTTTTATATAACCTTGTTGTGACCTTCAGATAGCAAAAGATAGTTGGAATTTTGTGAATTCGTTTTGCAAATGATATTTACTAAACAGATTTTTTTGAAAGGTTAGGGTCTGAAGAGGAGGTGGGTGAGCTTTTTAAGAACATTGGCTGCTCTTGCATCAGACCCAGGTTCGGTTCCCAGCATCCACATGGAGACTCATGACCATCTGTAACTCCATTTCTAGGAGATCCAATGTCCTCTTCTGGCCTCTGTAGGCACCAGGCATGCCCATGGTACATGGGAAACACTCCAAGACATAAAATCAAATTAAAGAGCAGTTTTCAAGTTTAAAGAGGAAGTTTTCAAAGGAAGGGTTGACCTTCATGAAGACCAGACTCTAAATTCTAACCTGGTAGAGGTACCTTAGATTGTCTTTTCTAAAAGAAATTTCCACGTAAGTTCTCAGACTTTCACTTATGAGTCAGAAGCATCTGCACACTTAATTCTTTGGGCTCTAGGCTTGGCTTTCTACCTACAAGGTGGAGTGTACAGGCAGATTCTGTTCTCATGTGGTTTGAAGAGATAGTGTTATCAGCCATAAGTATCATTGTGCTTTTATTTTTAAGGACTATCTATATTTTAGAAAAGGAATCTATTTTATAAGTTAACTATGTTGTGGGATTTTATAAACCAAGGAACTTACCTAGAACTGACCCATTCTACAGTTTGTATCTAATACCTGGGCACATGTCCCAGGAATCTATCTATTTTCCCAAAGGAAACCCGTTCAGACACTAATTCTCTTATTGACTAGTTCAATGGGAGACTTATTGTAAATGAGGGAGGGAGAAAGAGGAGAACTCATTCAATTGTTCCTCTCTAAAGGAATTTTTTTAGGGATGGAATATAATTTTGAAATAGCAATGAATATAACTTGGAGATAGCACCAATACACTATAGGAAATTCACATGCTTTTAGAACAACGAACGTCTTTGGGGGATCATGAGATAGATTCCCCCCATGGTCTAGTGGCCATGTACTGTACCCACCCAATGATGTAGAGCCAATGAGATACTATATTGAATCCAGTCTTGCCTGTTGTATTATATTAAATCCAGGCTTGCCTGTTGAGGCAACCTTCAGAGAGATCTGGCTTATCTCAAAAAGGAAAAAAAAAACTTTGTCTCTAAGCTACTAATTTTATTTTAGATGAATTTTCTCTTCCACTTTTCCTTGAGTTGACTTCAACAAACCTACAAATTAATAAGAAGTTATTATTTCCTTTGCATATTCCACAAAACAAATGTATCTGAGAGACTATTTCCTAAAAGCCTTTCCTGCTGGTAATTCTTATTAATGCCCTCCATCCTCCATACACAAATTTTCTGTGTCGAATCACTTCTATGACTTTTTAGCAAATTTCTGTCTGTCTGTCTGTCTCTAGAACCTACATCCTCTCACCATTGATAGTGGTGGATAGACGGTACCCGTGAACAGTATTTTATCCAGATTAGAGGACTATAATTCAAGTTCCAAACTCCCACAACGCTGTGAATTGATTGGTGCAAACAATAAAAATGAGCATAAGATGGAAGTTAGCATGGGAACGTAGAAGAGAAAGCATGCACACCTGTAGAGGCCAGAGCCTGGAAAAGGAAGACAGATAAAAGCCACACCACAGGTCCAGGCTTCCTGCTGATTAGATTTCTGACTATCTTTGAATACAGGTTAAATGGATTGGGAGCCCAGAAGCTTGGTTTTCAAAGGCTAAAGACTAGTTGAGGAGCCTGGAACTTGTGATCAGTTAAGGGTAAATGGTAAGAAAGATACTAACAGCCATGTTCTCAGGGTACAAAGACAGGTGGAAGCTGGGAAATGGGAAGGACTTGAGTTCAACCTCCCACCATCCATGTGAACATCTGGGTGGGGCAGTGTGTCCTCTTAATCACAGCATTGGGAGGGGCAGAGACGAGAGGATTGGGGGCGGGGGCAGGTTCTGGCTTGTTAGTTCAACAGAACTGGTGAGTTCCAGGGTCAGAAAGAGATACTGTTACCAAATAAATAAATAAATAAATAAATAAATAAATAAATAAATAAATAAATAAATAAATAAATTGGATGGGGAATGTTTGAGGAAGACAGTCAGTATTGACCTCTGGCTTTCAAAGGCATATCCTCCTCCTCCCCCGCCAACACACACATTTTTTTTTAATTTTTGATTATTTTAGGAAAATATAATGCTCTTCTTAGACAAAAGGTCAAATTGTCGAGACTGAGAAACCAAAGAAGAGAAAGGAGGATTCAGACCAAGGGAAAACACATTTTAGAATCGAGAGAGCAAGTCCATAGTTTTAAGAAACGGAGGGAAGAAAGGTCATTTGCTAAAAAAAGGAAATATACCTGGGTTGAAAATGGGAAGAGACATGTGCATGAACTAACTGAGTAGTCTCCATGGTGAGCAGCGGCTCCGGAAGCTGTCTTCTTCGAGGGCTGCTGGAACTGGAGGGCAGACAGGGGAAGTGGGGTTCAGGGTATGAGTTTATAAAACCGTGAGTGCTTTGACCAGGTAGATACAAAAGAATCTGAAGAACATTAGGAGGTATTGTATTTTTTTTATTTACTTATTTTATCATTAAGGTACTTACACTTTCCACATTTGACAGGGATTTTTTTGCCGAATTTTTTTTTTTGTTGTTGCTGTTCAAAATTAACACAACTGCTCTTAGTTTCAATGGACTGAACAGGCACCTGTAATTTGTAAGAGTTTTTAGCTACAAGTACCATGGGAAGGTAACAGCCCACTTCTGGAAGCTGGAAAGACAATAAATATGAGATTTTAACTTTGTAGAAGGAAGAGAGCTCAACACCCCAATGGTGGGGAGCTTATCCAAGCACAAGATGATGTGCACTGATCCATCACCCTTTGGGTGTGTCTATTACCCTGAAAGTAAGAACCATAAAGCTGAGACAGGAGGATTATTGATTGATTGATTCACTGTCTCTGTGTCAAAAAAATTCAGTTTATGTTTCTGAGACAACACTGACATTCCATACAATTTATATCACATGATTTAGGAATAAAGGAAAGTCATCTGTAGAAGCTTTTGCCTGCTGGGTTCCCACTGTTAATTTAGCTCGGATAAACACCGTTCCCTCCGAACTTTGAAGTCTGTAGGCATATCCATGACACATTCAAACTCAGCAGTGTTTTGTGAACAAATGAAGGTCCACATTTTGCCAATCTAATTATAAAATAGGAGCTGTGGTTATAGCTTGACACATCCTCCTTACTCAGCAGCTGGTCTCTTTTACCAGCTGATATTTCATGGCAAATTGTCCCCTAGATATTTCATCAAAATGGCCTGCTGCACACACCCTGCATTTACCTCATGCCCCTTTTGTGGCTCATTGTGCTGAGTCCTAGTTGAAAGCTATTGTCTGCCAAGGTACAATGGGGGTGTCTGGGTGGCAGCTGCATGTATTCTAGTTTTCAATACACACGGAGTATTTGTCAGCAATTCTGTCCCTGCTCCTTTTCTGCACTTGTATTCTCAGCACAGGGCAGTGATAGCAAATTAATTATCCCAATGACAGGATTGGGCACTTCCTTCCCTATAATGCAAACTGAAGCCCTTCCAATGGGTCCATTGGTCTAACCATTGGGAATCAGTCACAAAGAGTACACTGGACCCAAGTGTTTTTAAATTTCTTTTTCCTTTCTTTTTTTTTTTTTTGGTTTTTCGAGACAGGATTTCTCTGTGTAGCTTTGCGCCTTTCCTGGAACTCACTTGGTAGCCCAGGCTGGCCTCGAACTCACAGAGATCCTCCTGGCTCTGCCTCCCGAGTGCTGGGATTAAAGGCGTGCGCCGCTACCGCCCGGCGAGCACTAAATTTCTTGCATCTCCTAAAAAATGTCTTTGTAGAGCTAACATTATTTTGTCTTCAAATCTTAGATGAATTTTGTCACATATACTTCTTGCCTTTGAACACAGATTTTTCCAGAACATCTCTAGTATACTGTTAGTGGTGGAAAAGGAACTCTCACTCTTGGGATGAATGCTGAGCACACATGTAGCCTATGTGTGAATGTTTTATAAAATCAAAGACTCATTTTACTACTTTCCATTAAATACAATAACCTCGAACCTCATTGTAATAGTAAAATTACTGTGCCAGAGGGAAAATGTTTCTATAAAAATTATTTGCCCTTGAGAGAAGACCTTGGTATTTGGTTTTCTGCTGCAAGCTGCTTGCTGGTGCTGAGTGGTAGTGAGAACTCACAGCTGGGTGCAGCTTCCAGCAAGTCACATGCTGATCTCTAACCTTGGGTCAGCACATAATACCGAGTCATTGGAGTTGTACCATTCATGCTTAACTGGATCTTGGCTACCGCTGGCTGTTGCTTTCCTCGAGTATCCCTGTCTATTGTATCACCTACTGTGACTTTTGAAAAGCCTCCTTGGTTTTAAGCCCCCACTGTTATGGTTTGGATCTGCTGTGTCCCCTACAGGGTCATGTGCTTAATTAATTGTTTGGATCCTAGCTGGTGCTGCCACTTTGGCAGGTTGTGAGAACTTTGGGATTGTGGTCTAGTTGGCAGAATTGGGTCAGCCTGGAAAGGTCCTGCAGGTTCTGTCTGCTCTAGTACCGTCCAAATTCTCTGCATTCTGTCCACCAAGATGTGAATAAACCACTGTCCAAACAGCCACCGTCGCAGCCTCTTCAGCCACCATGCCAGCTGTGCAAGAAACAAGGAGCAGAAGCCGCCCGGTTCTCCGTAAGGGAGTTGTTCTGTTACACATGTTGTTGCAGTGACTAGTAAAGTAATGCACATGTCTTTCCTTCACCTCTTTTCCCTCTGTTTATCCACTACCCTTCTACTACTCACCAGTGACCAGGATTTTATGACGTTGAAGGATATTCGCTACACACTCCCCCGGCTCTCTCCTCTCCTC